TTTGTCGAATTGGGTGAACTATGATAGTAATTAAGACAAATCCATAGGAGCTCAGAAGGTCGGATAATTCCTGTACTTTACTAGAAATGAACGTTTGTTAAACTTTTGGACTCAAAAAGCGAGTCCTTGTTTCATGTAAGAGGCAGATATTCTAGAACGAGTTCGGCGGCGAGGGATTAAAATTGAGAGCGGTTTCTCTGGCCTGCCATATGAAGACAGACTGAGACAATTCAATCTATTTCTGTTATCTTACTGCAGGTTACGGGTGATATAATACGGACTTACCGTATACTGAATGATGATTTTGGTATTATCCCGTCTTATCTTTTTCTTCCACCAGGGACTGATAATCTGAAAGGACATTCTAAGGAATTTCAAAATTCGAGATCAAATCGCTTACATCTCGTGTTCAGTCTCTATCACTGAGCAGTGAATTACTGCAATTCTCTGACGGAACACATAATATCAGCACATTCTCTTGATAAATGAAGAGCAGTCTTCAGTAATAAGAATAGTAGGTTGATGAACCTGTATTAATCCTGTCACACTGCTTTCCAGTGAAGGTCCAGCTTCTCCTTGAAAGTATTCACTGATGGGGCTGACACCACTTGTTCGGGTAAGGCGTTCCAATCATTGACTACTCGAGAAAAACGGGACCCCACTTTAAGTTTATTGGATCGTGGTTTATAAACCTTCTTGCTATGACTGCGGAGATCATTAGTGCTGGAGGGAGCAAAAAGATAAGACACATTAACACCCAAATCATAATTAAAGATACGAAATGCCAGTATAAGGTCTCCTCGTGTCCTACGATACGACAAGGGGAAAAGATTTAGGCGTTTTAAACGCTCATCGTAAGGGAGTCTGAAAAGACCCTTCACTAATTTCGTTCCCACACGCTGGACACGCTCAAGAGAGTTAGTATCCTTTACCAGACACGGACTAGCTGCTTGGATACAATACTCTAAGTGTGGTCTTACATAGGTGGGATATAAAATTCGAAACATTTCCTCGTCAAAAGACTTTAGCGCTCGGCGAAGTGACCATAACGCACGAAAACCTTAGACAGCGGCTGCTGTGCGATGCGTAATTGTTTTTAAGTCATGACTGATTGCTACTCCTAAATCTTTATTCTCTTGAACTCATGGAAGAGGTTTACCATCAATAGTATAATGGTAACTGTTACCGTGACCGATGTGCATTAGCACATTCTTCCTAGCATTGATTTCTAAGCTCTAACCTCGAGCCCATCTAACTAAATCGTCTAAGTCAGCTTGAAGATCCAGATGATCAGCCGCACGTTTTATTGTTCTCCAGATTTTTACATCATCCGCAAACAATATTGTCGACGACCTAAGTAACAGCGGTAACTCATTAACGTAGAGAAGGAAGAACAGAGGGTCTAAGATGGTGCCTTGGGGTACACCACTTTTGACCGGCTTCCAATCGGATGGCGTTCCGTTGACCCTCACTCTCTGTCTGCGGTCACATAAGAAATTTCCTATCAACTCACGTACAGTACCTATTATTCCGAAGCTCGTGAGCTTCTGCATAAGACCTACGTGTGAAACCTTGTCAAATGCTTTGCTAAAGTCTATGAATATCACATCGACAGACAGACCGTTATCTAGGGCTGCTGTCCAATCCTCTCTCGCAATAAACAAGTTAGTCAAGCATGAACGCTTGTTACGAAATCCGTGTTGCTCGGGAGCTAACAGATTGTGTAAATCTATGTGGCTCAGCAACCTAACCCGAATTATCTTTTCGAGTAACTTAACGACTATGCTAGTTAGACTAACAGGCCGGTAGTTAGATACTATCTGTCGCTGACCGTCCTTAAATATAGGACTGACTATAGTGTCCTTCCAATCTCTAGGGAGTTGAGCGAGTGAAAGGGATATGTTGAAGAGTTTCGCGAGCGGTTTGGAAATAATGTCCGCAAGAGATGAGAGCAACCGTGGATGTAACCCGTCAGGGCCCGGTATCTTACCAGGTTTGAGGTTAGTTATCAACGGAAGGACAGTTTACTCAGTCACCTGTACAGATTCAATGGTTGGTATCTCGGTGTGAGTGGGACAAGTATTTGTTACAATAAACGTAGGGAAGACTTTGCTAAAATAGTCTGAAAAAGTCTCAGCTTTTGCTCAATCTGATTCAGCTAGTAATTCTGAATTTTCGTGTAACAGTAACGGGGGAATACCATCACTACGTTTCATTCGCCAATTAACATGCGAAAACAATCGTTTCGGACAAGTACGGCTATCATATACTAACTGTCGTTCGTAAGTGGTACGGGATTTGGTTATGGTTTTCTTACAGTTATTACGGAATTTTTGGTACTCACGCTTAAAAGGTTCATGACCTGTCAACAAGAATAAGTCCCAGAAATGTTTCCTACGCTTTAACAGCTTCCGGGTTTCCTTATTAATCCATGGAGGGCAGTGTGATAGCTTACGTGCTGACCATGGGATAAACGGCGACGTTACGGACTCGAATGTAGCCTTGAACTTATTCCATTCATCTTCGATCAATCCATCCGCGTCGACCGACCAATCAGTCGAGATAGCACAGTTTCTGATTTCCGGAATATTGGCTCGCCAGATATTGGGACGGGGTGGAGCAGATACGAATTGTATACCATGTGTCCTAAACTTAAAGTGAAGTACAACGTGATCACTGTTCGCTAGTGGGGGAAGGTGTTGAATATCGAAGACATTCTCACAGTGGTGGGTGAGGGCGAGGTCCAGCAGTGACGGATCATGTCGCAAATCAATATGTGTCGGTTTTGTGATACATTGTACAAGTGCACACTGAATAACGGTGGATAAACGGTCGCTATCGAAACCACTACCTGTAGCTGTAAGCTCTATCCAGTTGATATGCGGTGTGTTAAAGTCCCCAATGATGAGACAACATTCTGCCATACTCCAAGAACAGATGTGTCTTAGGATAAAGTCGTCAGCAAGACAAAACGGACTACGGTATATACTCCCTATAGTCACTAACCCATTTCTAGATTTAATCTTACAACATGCAACCTCACATGTGCCACTGATATGAGCCTCCGATATGGTTGATGGTATACGAAAGTGATCCCTAACGTATAATATTATACCTCCCCCTTTGCGACTTGAAACTCTATCACTTCTGATACAGATATAACCAGCAATGAAAGGAGAACAGTCTATATCTACGGTGAACCAAGTTTCTGTAACAACGATTATATCGGGACATAATTCTTGCACCATCAGACTTAGCTCGGACGTTTTATTTCTAAGACTACGAGCGTTCGTCTAGCACACACTTAAGGTGTTTTGGAAATCAATCGTTCTACCCATACAGGCCTCGGAAGCATTGGATTCCAAGACCTGACTACCCGAAAACCCTTAATGGTAAGGTTATTTTCGCCATTTAACTTGCGAGTCCTCAACTCCGTAAGAGCATTCTTCCACTTGATTCGATCCTCAAGCGGCCAATCTGGTCGAATACGGATATTTGAGGCACGAGTTTTTGCTGCGCTTTTCACTAATATGTCTCTTTCTTCGAAACTCCCGAGAACCAGCTTCAGGATTCTCCTTGGTTGGGTCTCGCCTCCAACCCATTTACCGAGTCGTATTACTTTTGTAATATGTACCCCTGAAACCTCTTCAGGTAGCATATTTCTTACCACAGACTCCACTAACTGCAGGTCATGTGCATGTCTTATAGCAGGATCGTTATCTTTCGACTCCTCTAGATTCCAAATAATTAAGCTAAGAAGGGGTTTAGCTTCCTTTGAAATTGCGTTAACAGCTTTGGATCGTGACGATAGATCCTGTATATTAACTACAGGTATCTTACGATTAGCCTTTATTGTAACAGAGTCCTGTGAGTGACTCACAACAGTGTGACGACGAAGCTTTACTTTGGAGCTTTGGCGGATTGGTCTGAGAGTCCACCAAGGACTTATCAAGTAAACAGTCATTAGTTTTAGCTGTTATTTGATTTTTCTTCTCAGTCACGCCAGGATGGGTTTCACTCTTACCATCAGATTTTGGTAGTGCAGTATGTGACTCACAATGAGAGTCCATCAGTGAGTTACTAACTACTTGTGTACTGCCTACAGCTTTTTTCCTTTCGTTTCGTTTCCTACGTACCGTAGTCCATTTTTCATCCCTCAGGACATTGGGACTATTTGGAACGGTGATGGTTTTATCCAGTTCGTCGGTTCCCACTAAAAGTGCATTGTTATTTATGTCAGTACCAGGTGGTATTATTATCCTTGGTAATGTTAACGGTGATCTCACTTTTGCGTCGGTCAGAGTCGGTTGTTTGAGGCGTCGCGTTACACAGCAGGTACTACACTGACACAATCGTCACTGTCATTGCCGGTGTTGCCAGCGCATGTGTCATCGTTTTTCTTGCAGGCCAAAGCCAATAGGCCCATAGCCTCCTGAATTAGTACCTTTTTATCCGTACAGCCGAACATACAAAGCCAATGCGAGTTAGGCTTCGAGCATCTTTTGTATGCCATCGGACTTAGGCGCGTACATATCTTGTGGCACCACTTTTTACAGTCATCACACTGCATTGCCTCCTCAACGGGGAACGAACAATTTGGTTGCTCACATTTGTGAGTCTTACCAACCATTGTAATTAGATTTAAAAGGTTTGAAAACACACAATGATCACAATGTGAACACAAGTGTTAGTCTAGGAGTAAAAACGGTACCTAGGACAAAATTTAGCAAAAATTTCAAACTTTAACCAAAGTACTTTTAGTTAAAGTAGACCGAGAATGCTTTTTGGTGCATTATGTACCCAAAGCAAGTATAATCACAACAAGTACAAAAATCACTGCCCTTTTTGAAACGAGCGCGTAGCGTGATTGGTTCTTCATAATAATAAAAGTTTCATGGATTAATATAAGTCGATTGACCTATCATTACTACTGAAGACTGAACAGTTTCGTTGGTCGATAGAGTATTGAAACATTTGGGCGGGACTTGTTTTAGTGTTCACGAGTTAGATCGCTGATTATTCTTGTTATCGCGTGTGCACTTTTGTCGTAATATGTCTTACGATTATGATGAGAATACTGTTGTAGATGAGGTAAGTAAGCATTTCTAACTAAGGTATTGTTTGAAGCTGACTATATAATGCACACTGTAGGACAATGTCAACCGTTTTTTACTGTTACAATCAACTAGTAATACTGTAGGAGTGCAAATGCCTTTCCTGACATACTTTATAAGCTAGGGCGTGTACATATTGGAGTTGTCTGAATCTCCTTGCTCCGCGTCTGCAGTCAGAACACTTAACCTGTTTTGTTTATCTAAGGTGAATGTTTTTGATCCTCAATCGTAAGCACTAGTTACAATACTTCCGATAATCGAGAAGAATCCATTAATGACCCTCTTGCCTATCTACTCATTCTGGCACCAGCATGTATGTTAAATTTATTCAACTTATCCTTCCGTCACTACCTAGGGTTGCATGATCCCCTTGCGAGTTTCTAGGCTGAAGTGGTGTCTTTTATTTTATTAGTACTTGTTTACTGTGGTAGTTCAGGCAACTGTCTTACCTGGTTAACGTCTTGGCCACTCTGTGATAAACATGTAGTTTATTACGAGCAAAATTGTGAATTAAGTGTTAGGTGTGTGAATAGATGTTCTAAGCATACCCAAGAGAACCTTACCGAAAAGTGTCATGAATATTCCCCTGGTAGTCTCTACTCCTTACTTTGCAAATATCGTCTCTAAGACCACACCAATTCGATATATTACTAATTTTATCACTTGATTTTGTTTCATGTACGTAAATTCTAGCCAACAATACATTGACCGTGTACATCCATCTAACTATATTCATACTTGGTTGAATTATAAACTAAAGTAAGATGGTAACCAAGTTGTCTAGACTAAAGGTCCCAATAGTTCATGAGTGTTGTAATGATCGGAAGTTTGTCCAGCTCGTTTTTCGGATAACCGAAGTAAATAGCTATAAATAAAGTAACACTTCCTAAATTTGATACTATCCCCCCTTAAACACCACGCCCTGAACATGCGATTACGTCGGTTTAACTTCTTGTGCTTATTTATTGCTATTAGTGTCCATATATTGTCCAGTCAATCTCATCAAAATACTTAACTACTCATTCTGAACCGCAACGTATTCCCAGCTCATACTTTGCTTCTCTCCTTTTCTAATAAACTTTTACTCTGGATTCATTACTTATATCAGCTTAGTGTTATCAGTTAACAACACATCAGTCTCAGGCGGAACTTTACTAATCCTAATTGTAGTGGATTTAAAGTCCTTCTGGGCGCTTACTTTTTTCACTGTTTGTGTTTTTGGTTATTTAGAATAACTTGAGCCAACTCCGAACATAAGTGCACATTTGTTCCTATTTTGCAACTACAGTATATAATAAAGCAGGTATTGTTTTCGCTAAGGAATAGTATAGATAAATACGCAGTACGATCTCGTTATGTGCTTGGTTGAATTTTCGTTCATAGATCATTACATTCTTCACAGTAGTTGACCCGTGTTTTCATAAATACCGACAAGCAATCAATGGTATATGCTTCAAATAATTTATGCCAGTCTGTTAAAACAATGTTGAGAATGCTGGTTACTCTTTACTTCCCCAACCCCCTGGTGCGCTTAGGAGTACGGCTTCTATGTCATACTACGAATAATGCATCTAGTTTGCATGACAATAAACAGACGTTTTATCCAGCATAACTCGAATAAGTTGCCACAGTTGGGAAACTTGATTGACTTTTCAAAATAGTCTGACACTAAGTTGTTGACTCTAACCGTCTCACTTACCTATTTTGAGAGACGAATGTTATAAATAGCTATCATAATCTGGTTCAGGTCCAAGTAAACGAATATGTAGTTAGTTACTGGGTTATATGAACTGTACTCGCGTCCAGATGTTACTTTACACGTCATAGATGCCGCTTTTGACAAAAAACGTCAGTTCTAACTTATTAGAAAACACAGGTCGTTTTGCAATAGCCATATCAGTTTAAGTAAGATGGTTCTTTTGGTCATCGCTTTCTTAGTTACTCTATAGAACAAAAGATTATAAACAGGAAAAAAGTCAAATGTTGTAAACCCTACCCTGGTTGTCTTGATCAAGCCCCTATTATTCGTCAGCTTTCGGAACAATACGATTACCACCGTCAAAGTATGTTTGCATTTAATTACGGCTATCTATTCTTCGTGGCAGTCCCAATCAGAGCTTATGAATAAACTGTCCCTAATTTCCTTCAGAGCTACCCACCATAACACTTATTAGTTTGATTTTGTCACACTTCAAAATAAGCATAAAAAATGATTAGGTTCGAATTACTCTACTTCGGTTTGTGTAGCCGATACTATCTCTAGCCCAAACATAAAAAGTATGGTTCGAAACTATAACACAAAATTGTGTTTGATGGGATATTTGCATAACTTAATATTTTCCAGTAAAGGTACACTATACTGATGACCTTGAGTGAGCTGATCAGGGTCGGGATATCTCCTCGGATTTTGCGCAAAATTGTAAGTGTATTGAAGAATATTCCCGACCTTGTTATCTCGATATGGTGATCGAACTTGCCTTAACAGAGCTATATTGGGTTGAAATACATGCTCCTTTAGGTCCTACCGTGCCAGGCAGAACGGTTGGAAAACAGTAAGATTAAAAGCAGCAACTTAAGGTTCAAAGGTGAAATCATACTGTCGACTTTGGAGTGTTGTGACTGTAGTAAGGTGTTTGCCTCGGGCAATCAGCACCTGCAGTAATGCCGCCTTACCATGATGGGAGGAAGGGGTTAGAAAAGGTTGACAGCAAGTGTCGCACCTCACCTTACCCCAAGGATTTCTATTTCCGGCGGTAAGGCTTTTAGGATTGCAGAAGTAACTCATCAAAACTTCTCATAAAAAGGCCATAGGCGATTAACCTCAAGTAACTATCCCTTGGGCTCGGTAATCTCACTCCCAGAATGCAAAGACCACCACTAATACAGCCTTTTCTCCAGGTTACTCAAGAAGAAATAGCCTTCCTTGATGTGGGCAACCGTGAAGTGACAACCGTTCTCATACCTTTATCAGCACTTGAGATCACTTTGCTGATTATGGAATCCCTCCCTGACCTCTTAATAATTCTATCATCCCTACGACTAACCCTTCTCATTTATTTTTATCACGCACCATCGGTGCTTATTTGAATTCGCAAAATGTTAGTCCTGGTCTCCTGAATCCACTCTGTAAACTGCATTTTGGAGCTTATAATGTTAAAACCTTGTGTCAGATAGAACAAAGTTCTTTAGCTAGGACTCTGAAATCACACGCTATCAATGCATGCTTCGTATCCGAAACACACATACAGATTCTAAGTATTGTTATTCGCTTGACCTCACTTCGTCAATATAAAGATATGGCACGATTCACCCTCCGAGTATTCGGAGACTCCACGGCTACCTCCGCAACCTCGGGTGTAGGTATAGCATTAAGTTCTAAAGCATCCGGATTCTTCAACCTAAAGGTTTAATCCACAAGGCAGTGGAATAACGTCAGGAAATGCAATCTCATGGTAGCCGGTGACCAACAATAGGTTCATACGCCGCTATTCATTCCCTTAGGATCCCGGAGTCAGGGTTTTCCATCCCCCTAAGTGGATCCTCGGTTGATAACAAAAACCTTATGGAATTATCAATGACCACTTATTGTCCGACCTAATCCATCTAGCATATAAAAAAGTTAAGTGAAAGTTAATAACACTAAGAACTAGAGGTGGCATTAGTCAACAAATCCATTGGTTTATGATTTGAGCTAAATCGGTGGGGTACCGCTGCATGAACAACTATGTGAAAGGATGCTTTATACTGGTTTTCCGAAGAACCAGATTCGTCTTTTCGCAACGCGAACATCATAGTTTTATCTAGTGCAGCTCTTCAGGTACCTAAAACCCTGGTGGACCATTTCACTTGACTCGATCATAAAATTATCAACGCCTCTCAGAGCTTACAGAATGTATCGTTTAAGATAAATCTAAATATGGAAATGTAGAGTCGATGGGAAACACTATAAGTTTATATTTCAAATGTTAATATCTAGTTTTTTTGACGTTTTCCCCAGTACTGGATACCACAGAATATTTGAATCACGTGGCGCCGACCAATTTTTTTAATGGCATGATTTGTAGTTGGCTGTAAAAATTGGTAGCTCTGCCTGTAGATCTTTCAGGACTGCTCCTGGTCCCAAGCCCAGGTAAAGTAGAAGGGTTGGGCTTAGGGTCAGCAACCTCATCCCGTAGAAAACAACTTTGCTAAAAATACACTAACCAGAATAAACAAATTAAACCATTTTAAGTCAGCCCTCTTAGTTGAAAAAAGAATTATACGCCTCATGATGAAAGCTGAGGTTCTTCGGAAGTCAAGAGGCCGATGTCCCTTCTAACGCTCATAGCAAAAATCAATATAGGTACATGGAATATCCGTTCAATGTTGGTGACTAGGAGGACTCATCAAACAACTACGGAAATGAGGAAATACAACTTGACGGTTTTCGGAATCAGCGAAACCCATTGGACTCTCACTAGACAGCAAAGGTTTTAAAAAAGAAAAGGATAGATTCAGGAAAAATGCTGCTGCACTCTGGTCACGAAGAAGAAAATGCTTTGCGCACACAAGTAGCTGCACTGCTGTTGTTCAAAAACGCACAGGATCAATAAAACGTCCTTCAAAACAGATAGATCATCTTTGCATCAGTAAAGCATTCACAAGGTCAATGGAAGACGTAAGAACCCAGAGAGGTGCTGACATAGCTTCAGATCACCACCCGGTGGTAGCCAAGATAAAACTGAAGCCAAAGAAGCATTAGACAATCGGGGAAACAGCATTTCAAACGTTCAACACAGTCTTCCTACGGGATACTGACAAACTCAACGAATTTGAGATAACTTAACAACAGGTTCCGAGCCTTACAGGATCTACTCAATGAAGAAGAAACCACTATGAAGGACAACTGGAAAGGGATCAAAAAAATACCATCGCAAGGGATGGATCTCGATGGAAACCCTGGACAAGGTTCAAGAGAGGAAGAACGAGAAGACAACGATGATCAACAGCCTAACAATAACAGAGAAAGTGAAGGCACAAGCTGAATACACAGAAGCAAACAAGGTAGTGAAGTGGAGCATTAAAGCTGACAAACAGAAATACGTGGAAGAGCTATCGACGACAATGGGAAAAGCTGCAATAGAAGGAAATATGAAAAAACTATATGACAACAGAGAAACCGTCAGAGAAATATGGTAAACTGGAGCGACCAGTCAATGACAAAGAAGGCAAGTCAATTACTGAATCTCAGTAACAAAGGAATAGAGGGGTAGAACACATTGAGTAACTCTTGAATGGGCCGGCTCCATTGAATCCACCGAACTTCGAAGCAGCACACACAAACCTTCCAATATATGTCACTCTACCAACGACCAAAAAAGTCAGGATGGCCACCAGACAAATGAAGGGCGCGAACGTAGTAGAACGTGAAAAAATACCAGCTGAAGCACTGAAGTCAAACGTAGAGGCAACTGAAAACATGCACCATGTTCTATTCAGGAAGATTTGTGAGGAGGACAAGTGCCATCAGATTGGAATGAAGGATACCTCATCTGCATACAAAAGGAGGTCTGAGCAAGTGCGAGAACTACAGAGGAATCGTACTACTGTCAATACCAGGAAAGGTTTTCGGCTAAGTGATGTTGAAAGAAATAAAATATTCATTAAACGCCCAACTTCAAGATCAACAAACCGGGTTCCGTAACAATCGGTCGTGCACAGACCAAGCGCCACACTACAGATCATCGTTGAACAATAATTTGTCACCATACATCAACTTCATTATAAAAAAGCATTTGACAATGGATAGGAAAATATTATGGAAACTTCTTCAACACTGTGGAGTGGGTAGCTGAGAAAATAGTCAACATCTCACTGCAAAGTCGTGCATGAAGGACAGCTGACAAATGCATTCCAAGTAAGGACCAGAGTCAGAAAAGGCTGCTTACTCTCCCCTTTCTCTTCCTTCTGGTGGTTGACTGGATTATGAAGACCACATGTGACGGGAAGCATGGAATACAATTGACAGCTTGCGTGCAACTAAAAGATTCCGACTTTGCAGATCACCTAGCTCTTCTATCCCATACACACCGACGAATGCAGATGAAGACAACCAATGTAGCAGTAGCCTCTGCATCAATAGGCCTCAACATATACATGGGAAAAAGTAACATCCTCAAATACAACACGGAGAACACCGACCCAACCACATTTGATGGAAAACTCGAAGAGGTGGACAAGTTCAATTATCTGGACAGCATAATCGATAAACAAGGAGGATCCTGAAGAGAAACGAAAAAGAGGAAGGCCGAAGAGCACACTGCACCGAGAATTAGAAGCAGACATCAAATGGATGAATAGCAACTGTAAAGGACTACTCAGAACAGAGTTGGACGGAGAACGCTGATGGGTGACCTTCCACGAGGAGTAACAGGCGTAAGTATAAAAATTGATAATCATTATAAAATTTTAATCGCTCTTAATAAGTGTGCAGTTCATTTGAGGTTAAGTCAATAACCTAAGAAAACAAATCAGTTTCTGTTAGTTCGTTTACCTATACAGTTTTTAATAGGTTCTCTTACTATGACAGTTATGCTTTTAAACAGTGGATTTTATATACTAATTTTATTGCAGTTTTCGTCTATGGCTATCCATTCAAATGGTCCAGATGGTGGTGCCGCCAAACTTTATGTGCCTCCTCATTTGCGAAATCGTGGAACTTCAGATGGTCTCGCAGACTCTGTAAATGATTTTAGTCAATTTAGTCGCCCTTCCCGTGGTATTGGTGGTGATAACTTTCGTGGACGTCCTTTTCGTGGTTCGTATAGTAACAGGGGATCAAAAGTTGGGAACGAAAGGCAGCAATCTGACTCACGGTGGTCAAGCTTCAACGTGAAGTATGTCAGTATTTTTCTTCTACTGTGATTGTTTGTAGTACTCAGTCACGGGGTGGTCATTCTACTTTGGGGTCAAATGTTCCCAGACGCAGTTGGAATGCACCCACTGAAGACTGGACTCAACAGTTGCCACGAAACGAGCGTACAGAACAAGAGCTTTTCAAGAAAGTGAGCGCAGGCATAAACTTTAACCAATACGACAACATTCCTGTAAATGCGACGGGGCCAAACTTTAACGACAGTGCATCAACTATATCTTCATTTACCGAACTTTCACTTCATAAAATTGTACGTGACAACGTTGAACTGGCCAACTATGAGCGTCCTACACCAGTACAAAAGCATGCTATACCAATAATTGCATCAGGTCGGGACCTAATGGCATGTGCACAAACTGGTTCAGGAAAAACTGCTGCATTCCTTATTCCAATCCTAAACAACATGATTAAGCAAGGTCCCGGTGATTCTATATGCGCCACTGTAAGTTTGTTACGCTTGACAAGTTATTTAAGTAGATAAACAACAACCGAAGAAAACAGTTCCCTGTAGCTCTTATACTGGCTCCAACTCGCGAATTAGCATCGCAGATTTTTGATGATGCCCGAAAGTTTTCCTATAGATCTCTTATCAGACCATGTGTTCTTTACGGTGGTGCTGATATGAGAACGCAGTTGATGGAGTTGTCCGAAGGCTGTAATCTGTTAGTTGCCACTCCAGGTCGACTAAGTGATGTTTTAGAACGGGGTCGAGTCGGCTTAGACCATTGTCGGTGAGTTTCAAAGTAATGTGTAATTTCCCATAGGTTCCTTGTTCTTGACGAAGCTGATCGTATGTTAGACATGGGGTTCGAACCACAGATTCGTCGTATTGTGGAGCAAGATGCTTTCCCACCTTCCGGCGAGAGACAGACGCTTATGTTCTCGGCAACTTTCCCCAATGAGATTCAGGTACTTACAACTTCTTATTGTGTTTCTTTAGATTTTAGCCAAAGATTTCTTAAGCAATTATATATTTCTGACCGTTGGACGTGTTGGGAGTACGAGTGAAAATATCACGCAAACGATACTTTGGGTTGAGGAGAATGCTAAACGAGATACTCTAATCGATTTGCTTGCTCACTCAGGTTTTACAAATAATAATTTCTTTACATGTTTAATTATCCAGAAGCAGGTACACTAACATTAGTTTTTGTTGAAACAAGACGGGGTGCAAACGCTCTTGAAAACTATTTATACTCACAGAAGTTTCAAGTTGCCAGTATACATGGAGATCGTACTCAGGAAGATCGAGAATTAGCGTTGTCTTGTTTTCGTTCAGGAAGAACGCCAGTGCTCGTTGCAACAGCTGTTGCAGCTCGTGGTTTGGATATTCCAAATGTCAAGGTAAGCTCCTACCTAACTCGCTTTGATAATCCTATGCATTCGTTTTTTGTTTTTTCATTGTTTAAACGTATTCCCCTTATTTGTTGAATGCTGCACTTGTCGTCATATACTACATATTTAACTCATTCATTATGCATTCCAATAAGTTGTGTACCAACTTTACTTAAAGAACGTTCGCCACATCAGTTCATTCTTGATAGAAGTTCGATAAAACTATAATCTTTCCGATATCGTACGATTTAAGTGAGGGTTTTATTTGCAAAAAATATTCTCACATTTCAGTGAATCTAATCATTACATTCATATTTAAGATATAAATCTTGTAAACTCATACAGTTTACTGATTCATTTGCTTTAGTTGTGCGGAAAATATATCTGCACATTCGAAGTATAAAGATGCTTACGAATTATGATTTATTAACTTGAATTATGGAAGGCCAGTTCATTTAGGCGAACCCGCAATATAACAGTATAAGAAGTAAAGGAGCCGAAAATCCGGCACATCTATTCTACTAGTATGTATTTGTACCTATTTCCACGCAGGACCAATTGATCATAAATCTTGATAGGGTACCACGACTCTGAAGCATTTTAAGACAAAGCAGTGTGAGACAATATAACATTCATTTGCGACCACACATACTTGACATAAAAACAAACTTCGCTCACTCAAAATCCAATATAATCACGTTAAAAACTAAAATGCTTAAGTACTTTCGGCTTTCACATGTCCTCTACTCGTGCGGAGTTTAGTTATACAACTCAGTCTATTAAACATTTGGACTTAATTTAGACACACACTTGGAATATATTCCATGTGACTCAAACGTGCGAAAGTTAGGCAAATATCATGCAAAAATCCTGTTGGCAACCACACTATCGGCACTGATAGGCTATTGTTAACTCACTTAAGGATTTAGATTTGTTTGCTTGACTTTGAAACGCATTAATGTGGGAGATAATGATAATACCCAGTTACTCAAACCGATATGAGTGAATCGTGGTTCAAACCTGCCACTTGTTAGCGAAAAGTCAGTCGCCTTAACGACCAATGAAACTTCTAAATTCTGTTGTCAACTTATTCGCCTATGCTACTCTTAGTCGAACTAGCTTATCCGCAACTGAAATGATGAATATCTCGTTTGAGGGTAAACTGTAGTAAAGGTACAAATTGACAATCGCATGCGTGTAAAGTGCAGTTGTTGCACCTGTCCAACTATCATTTATTTCAGTATACTACATCGTGGTCGGTTTTGATCCCATCATCTGTAATCTCTAACTGTCGATTTACATCACTTCCAAGTCCACATTTCTCTAGACCAACTCGAACGAAAAACACTTACCCGAGAGTATGTCGTTATTTAACTATTGTTATTCCACCGGTCCAACCACATCTAAGTTATGTTTGTATGTGCTTCAGAACATCTAATAGTTTCATTCTCAATAGGTATGGCTTGTTACCCACTAAGAATGGACTCAGTCTATGTGTATTACCTCATCCTTTTGGCTTTCCGAGTTTCACAAATAACGCGTAAAATCCTACGTCTCTCTGGCATGTAAATTTAAATCCTCATTGTTTATTACATTTACAATACAGCACGTTATCAATTACGATCTTCCGTCAGATATTGAAGAGTACGTACATCGCATCGGCCGAACTGGTCGTGTTGGAAATCTTGGACTGGCTACTTCTTTTTTCAATGACAAAAACCGCAACTTGGCCCGTGGTCTAGTTGAGTTGCTTGAAGAAGCTAATCAGGATATCCCGCCTTGGTTGAAAGCAATTACAGGAGACGCAAGGCCTACAAGTTTCCAACGTCCAAGAAATAATCGTCGGTAATTTTACAACTCATCTCTGATTTCTTACATTGCACAAGTTGTCATGACTACTGGGCCGTCTAGATCATCTCATTAGGAAGTTAGGGTGAAGCATTCCGAAAATTCTGTTCCGTAACAATACTACGTAGTGATTTAAAATATGGAGACGACTCAGTTTCATTTATCTTAAGGTTTAAGGACGTTGCTTGGACACTATGTTTCGTAAGTCCATAAAAATAGTTACTTTCAGACTTGGCTTTACAATTATACTTTTGAGTGTTAAAAAAGATAACGCCATAGGAAGTGGCAACGTATCTGATTGACTTTGTTAAACCTGACAGACGGTAAATGCATCAACTGACAAACCACAGATAAGCTATCTTGATATCACTAAAATATGATTTTCAGCTGACTAACCCAGTTGGTAATCTGCGCATTATTCCACAACGATGCTGCTAGCTTCAAGATCAACACAGGCTAATCTAATCACAATAAAATTTGTTTGTCTACCAAGTTGTTTGAGTGGGTGTGCCAAATAAAATATATTTGACTCATGTTGAACCATTTAACTTGCAGTTTTGGAATGTACACTGATCCGTTTTCCATCCTTTGAATTAGGAGTAGTCATTTTGTCATAAGTCATTACTGTTGGGTCTCTTGTTACATTGCTGAATATAATTAAACTTTTATTTCAGTGGCGGTTTTGGTGCTCGTGATTATCGACAAACTCCCTCACGTGGTGCTAATAATTCTAATCGTCCTACTGGCCCAACGTCTAGAGACTATGGATTGCTTCGCGATAGTAGCTATTACGATTCACAACCATGCTCGGTGTCACAGAGTTCTCCAGACTGGTGGGGCAATTAGCAGTCATAATTAACTACCATGAACAATACACTTTTTGATCCTGTCGTTTTTTATAATTTAAATCATTTTCGACAATTTTTACATCAGCGGAAACTTGCTTTCATAATTTACTTTGGAATTCACGCCACCAAATAGGTGCAGTTGTTGTCCCTTCCCAAATTTAGTTTTGATTACCAATTCAGTATGTGCATCCATGTGGGCATAATAGCGGTAATTCTCCATAGATATCATTTGTGAATTGCCGCTGTTCTTTCCAAAACCTGCATTTATTTTTGTCAAGGTGTGATTTTCCCAGTGAATTAAAATGAGTTGGACCGCTTTTTGGTATTTGGAAAAAGCTTGTATTGAATAAAAAACTAGATTTAAAAATATGGATTTTTATTTGTATATAACTACTTGGGGTATCGCGCTACAAACGTAGGTACTGAGAACTTTCCTAAACATCCTTTATAGGTCATGCATCTGATTTTTCCAAAAACGGGCCTTTCCGCCCAACCTTGATCATGCACACCGCATATGGACCACATAACACCTGGAACACAGAATATAACAACAAACTATTCAAGTCTTACCAACAAACCCATTCGGGTCGGAACCGTCCAGTGCATAACGGTCGTTGAGATGAAGTGCCAACTTGAGAGCGGCCGACGGACCGGATCCATGCCACTCCAATATTTTCTTAGCCCAGTACATACGTAGAAACCCATGAAGTTTGCCTGACCGTACTAGCTGACGCTGTGCTGCATTCCATAGATCGTCTTTAGTTTCAGCTGCAATCATGATTTCTTCGCTATATGAAGGGTTGCGCTTGTCATGAGCATGTTGCGCGAGAGTGTCTTGAGCCCACTTCCACGCTCCTAGTAATAAAAAAGCCGTTTGGTCATTTAGTGCTTATTAAATACAGTTGCACCATATACTTGACTGGATATAGGACATTTAGTCTGCTTTAGAAATTAAAAGTGTTTTTGCGTTAAATCTGCTTTGTCCTTGTTGACACAATCTTAGTCAAAATACGAATCCTCCCAACCCACCTTATACTACCATTGGTCACGTGTAACAATCATATAGCGATGGGGGAAAATTGCTGTGCCATATACTGATTTTGCTTACCAAACAGATGCATGATATGCTAATGTATGCAATGACTGTAAGCAGTAATAGTTATGAAATGTGCATCTAGAAAGCTACGTGGTCTACCTGAGTTTTTCTCAAGAGTCAAACAGATTGTGAGCATTGCTCCCCAGTTTCTTTCAGATCAACTAAAGATTAAGTATACACTTCAAGACACTAGGTTTTTTAGCACGAATACACTAGCGTTTCTTATTTTACTGTGCAAGTAGGCACGTGGTTAAGGGTTTTTGATTGTCAGCATGGCTGGAAATCATATTTATTTTGACAGCCATACTGATTACACTCACCTTCAATTGAATCATATTTCAGGTTGTAATAACAGAAATTATCCGAGAGTTCCCTTCGAATAAAGGCTTCCTCCACGAAGGCATCTACGGAATCCTTGTACTTATGGCGCCAAAGTTTTACCTCCATGATCGCTCGTTGTGGTGCAATTTGACCTGATTTAACAAAGTATAGAAATATAGTTAGCAACAGACTTTCCAAATACGCTTGCAATCAGCTGAAAGAATGTGGTCAGGGAATCTACGGCTTCTGCAAACCTGTATTACAAGCAAACAGAGTGATGCCCTTCCCTAAAGTAAAGAGCAGTTAAAGAAATACTGAGCTTCAATCACGAAGATTCAAGTGCCATAATTTCACATCACATACAAACGGAATGCAGTTTTAAGAAAAAAGGTAGCTTGGCGAGACTCATGAACGAACCAATCAGATTTACAATAACAGATCTTGGATGTTAGAGCGCAATTCATTCATTCATTGGGCTAAATACTATTTCGGTATTATAGTTGACGTAAATTTGTGGTGAAAATCCTAAGCCTAATTCCTAACCCAAACCATGAACTGTAAATCATAATTTTAGCGTTGCTCAAAGGTTGTCCATAAATTATAGTCTCACCAGTTGCCTACTTGTATGGTTTACGTCGAAGGTGCAGCGGATGCTCGTAAGGACAATCCGTCCATTGAGATGCGATTTACTGTCAAGTTTTTAACAGAAAATTTTAATTCACCTTATATACTAGTCCTAAAATGTGCAGGTTAATAAAATTAGTTGAGTATGAAAACACGAAGTCTCCAAATGGTTACAGTATTCTGAATAGCGGAGGCAAAGGCCTGATTTTGAAAATTCATTTCCATAAATATTTCTGAATAATTGAATCATTGTACCATCTAGGAAGTTAGTGATGTCTATCATCAAGTTATTCGACACTAAAATAGTTTACCCACTTCTGAGAAATTGCTTCACGAAACGTAGCCCAGCCTAAGTAAAAACAAAACACATCCAGTTAATCTGAAAGCCTAAACATATCGATAAAACTGAAATCATTGGTAGAAGAGTCCGCGTAACTATCTAAAGTGTGTACTTCCAACAGTACGTAGCTTCTGTGGTGGTGAAGTATGCTAAGTGTGTGTCTTCGACGAACATCATCTTGGTGAGTCAAAATTACACTGGAATACAATGGCGCATATTCATCATAATAGGAATTGTGACAAATCAAATAACAATTACCATAATGAAACCATGGTGACAAGTCGCTCAAACAATTTTTCGTGGGGTCGTTACGACAATCAGCGTATTTAGACAGTTTTTCATAGATAAATGTGTGTAACGTTGTAAGACCTCCACTAGTTCCTGGGATTGCCCAATCAATTGGTTTAACTGATGAATCGACCGAAAATTTTGATGTCCAATAATTCCAATCTATTGGCTGTATAGGAAAGGGCAGATTACACATGAAAATGAAATAATTTCGAAGCAAAATCTTAGATATCTCAAAAATGATTATAGACAGTACTTTGAATTCTGATTAAAGCTTGCACACATTAGGATGATTTGCTGTCATCTTCAAAAGCCATAAAAACCAACATCATTCATAATCCATATGTACTGGGCTTTTCTTTTTCACGTTCTTTGTTTTAAGAAGTGGCAACCACCTTTGGTGATACATGTTGCAGTAACATATGCAAAAAATACTCCGCCGGTAGCTCTTCTGGAGTTATTGACGGTCCCAAGCCCGGGTAAAGGAGGAGGGTTGGGCATGCGGTTAGCGACCCCATCCCGTAAAAAACTAACTCGCTAAAAAAACGCTAACCAGGAAAAATAATTCAAACCATTTAAACTCTTCCCTTCATTTACAAGAACTATGACGCCTCATGGTGAAAGTCGAGTTCCTTCGGAAGCCACGAGGCCGATGCCCCTTCTAACAACCAGAGCAACAATTTTAATAGGTACATGGAAAGTACGGACAATGTAAGAGACCGGGAAGACTAGTCAAATAGCAACGGAAATGAGGATATACAACTTGGCAGTACTGAGAATCAGCGAAACCCATGTCAATCCACCAAACGACGGAAGAAATCAGGATGCCCATCAGACAAATCAAGAGCGGGAAAGCAGCGGGACCCGACAACATACCACCTGAAGCACTGAAGTCAGACATCGAAGTAACTACAAACATGCTTCACCTTCTGTTTAAGAAGATTTGGGAGGAGGAACAAGTGCCGATGGACTGGAAAGAAGGACACCTCATCAAGATTCCAAAGAAAGATCTGAGCAAATGTGAAAACTACAGAGTCATTACACTACTGTCAGTACCAGGGAGTCTTTAACAGAGTGTTGCTGAACTGGATGAAAGACGCAGTAGACGCCCAACTTCGAGATTAACAAGCTGGATTCCGTAAGGATCAGTCGTGCACAGACCAAATTGCGACACTACGGATCATCGTCGATCAATCAGTTGAGTGGAACTCATCACTGTACATCAACTTCATCGATTATGAAAAAGCATTTGACAGTGTAGATAGGAGGACTTCATAGAAACTTTTTCGACACTATGGAGTTCCTGAGAAGATTGTCAACATTATCCGGAACTCATACGACGGACTACAGTGCAAGGTTGGGCATGGAGGACAGCTGACAGACATATTCCAAGTAAGGACCAGAGTCTGACAAGGCTGTCTACTCTCCTCCTTCCTCTTTCTTGTGGTCGACTGGATTATGAAGACCTCGACATCTGAGGGAAGACGCGAAATACAATGGACAGCTCAGAATCAATTAGACGATTTGGACTTCGCAGATGACCTAGCCCTCCTATCGCAGCAGTTTCTGCATCAGTAGGCCTCAAAATACACAAAGGGAAAACCAAGGTCCTCAAATACAACACGGAGAACAACAATCCAATCACTCTTGATGGCGAAACTCTGGAAGATGTGGAATCTTTCACGTACCTGGGAAGCATCATAAATAATGATAATCGGATGCAGACGTAAAGGCGAGGATTGGCAAATTGAAGAACATATGGAACTAAAAACAACTTCCAACCAATATCAAAGTCAGAATCTTCAATACCAACGTCAAGGTAGTTCTACTGTACGGAGCTGGAACTTGAAGAACTACAACAACCACCAATCAAGAAGGTACAAGTATCTATAAATGGCTGTCTACGCAAGATACTCAACATCCATTGGCCGGATACCATCAGCAACAGCCTTTTGTGGGAGGGAACAAACCAGCTTCCAGCTGAAGAAGAAATAAGGAAAAGACGATGGAAATGGATAGGACATACATTGCGCAAATCTTCAAACTGCATCACGAGACAAGCCCTAACTTGGAATCCTGAAGGGAAGCGGAAAAGAGGAAGGCCAAATAACACGTTACGTCAGGAAATAGAAGCAGATATGGAAAGGATGAATAACAACTGGAAAGGATTGCTTAGGACAGGGTTGGTCGGAGAATGCTAGTGAGTGGCCTATGCTCCTTCATGAGGAGTAACAGGCGTAAGTAAGTAAGTAATTTAGTTTAACTGAAGGAGGCAGTATATATTGCCTTTTTCCTGTTCGTGAAAAGAACTGAAATATACAGAAAATAGGCTTTTTACTCTGTGGATATCCATAAAATTATCACTTAAACTAGCGTCTACAGGTTGCAATTTGACTGTCTTTCGTAAACATAGTGAATAATTTAAGTTGGATCTTTTTGATGTCAAGGAAAAAAAGCACTACGTGTATTGTGATTTACAGACAAGATGTTATTTGAAATTACTGTTTTCCTATAGACAAGTAATCTCTGGTCTAATGAATATAATAGTAAGTTACAAAACTGGATAACCGGTTTTTCTTACAATAAAATTCATCACGGTAATTTCAGAACGATTTACTTTACTACGAAAGATTGTCTAGCTTAGTGCAGAACAATATTTCTAAAGAAATATTGAACAATATGTGTCCTTACC